CAACAGTGTTTACATAATGGCTCCCTCCTGGGTTTCAACGTCAATATCAATGTTCTTAAAGTCACAAAAGGCTTTCCTTCTAGCTCTTGAACCTCTTAGTAGTAACCTCTTAATAATAATAATAATAATAATAATAATAATAATAATAATAATAATAATAATAATAAATAAATAAATGATGATTTAAATGATACGCAAACAGCTGTTAAGCACCAGGCCTGAACGTACTTGATCCATAAGCTAATAGTTATAATCATTGCTGATACAATCAAAGTGGATGCTAGTCCAAAATACATTTTCTATCAAGCTTTGCTTCAACTTTCTGTTGTAGTCCAGGTTAACCATTCGTGTAGCATACAATGAATTATAACCATAGTGTTTCCAAACTGAATTTGTGGTCCTGGAGGTGTTTTTTTCAACTCGTGTGGTGATAGCTAGTTACGAGTTGTAATGGGTGACTTTTTATACCGCCACCGCTAAAATAAGAAACTGACCCGGCTACTTTGTTTCGATTATGGTTCCTTCTTTTTGTGTGTAACCTCTAAGCAGTGCCTCAGGTCTGTTTTAGCCTGTGTATTAAGCGTTCCCGTTCAAGCCGAACGAAAAGAGCTCCTCCGCATTAGGGCCGCGAGAAAAATGTGACGAGAGCAATAAGGGCCGCGCGAAAAGTGGGGCGAGAGCGAGATCTTTTTGCTGTCGCCCTACTTTTCGCGCCCCCAAATGCTGATAAACCCCGATTTCGTCAAAGTTTTATTTCATTCCGGTCGTAAGGGAACGTTTGCTACGCATGCTAGGCCTGTTTGTGCGATGCCAACCAAAGTTCCAATATTGACAGTACCTAAGCCTGACAGGAGCGCACGACTCAGACTCCTGACGTACAGTAATAAATTTGATTTTTAGGAGGGAGGGGAAGTCCAATAGTCACGAGCATTTTTGCAATTGATTCTTCAGTCAACCTAGAAATTTATTGTAGACAGGAAAGTTAATAAGTTCGGCAAAGTTACCTGCAGTAGCATCCTCGCTTCCAGCTAGGGAACAAAAGAGAGAAAAAAAGAAGGTATTAAATAAAAGAAATTTTCCAGTACTGTTTTCGAATTGTAGAGGTTTCGCAACTAATCACACCATTCGAGTTCACACCCACCTTGGAGTCTGGTAGACTCCAGTTTACTTAAACTTGAAGCTAACATCAAGATACATTGAGACAGCATTGAACGAACGCGGGCGACCTCTCAAAAATATGCGGTACCGGTGTGGAACTTCCGACAGTCCCCTGCTGCTATAACCAGATTTGGTAACAAGAATAATTCAGGCTTATATTTTCTTCACTTTTATACCTTCATTAGGGATAGAGCGACTTATGGGGGCATAAACTCGCCCACAATATGTCTAGCCAGCGAGCAGGCTCACCTTCGAGTCACACGCGCGAGCGGCGAAGAGTGCGAGTCTGCGGGCGAAGAGCTCGCCCGCTTACAGGCAACAAAATTTCATACAAAGAGTTCTATCGGTTCCTGTCCTCGAGACACAGTTTTCACTGTTCCACTTGCTCTGTTGTGAAAAAGCTGTGGCGATGACTAACTTGACCGGGAAGTTGAAAAGAGAAAATCTCAGGAGTGATGTTAAATTTGAGAAAAGAAACTACCAAATTGTTACTACAGTCGAACCTCCCATAAGCGACCACCGAGGTGGTTGCTTAGGACAGCTTAGACCATGTTGGATCAAAATATTTACTCATTAACATATGGTAACTGCAGAGACTTTCCTCATGTTTTAAATGTTATATTCATGCGAAAAGTCAATTTCGAGAAAAACTCCTGTACTTCCCATTGAGAAATTTCCGTCTCCAACACCTTATTACGCAATTTACGCGCTATCATCTGTCAAGTGGCCGCTTACGGGACTGGTTAAAAACAAAACTGAGAAAATCACAAACTTTTTCGCTCTAAAAGTGGTCGTGGTCACTTAGGAGAGGTGGTCGCTTACAGGAGGTTCTAAATATAGTGATTTGACTTGGAAATTTTTGGTATTTTGGAAAACTGGTCGCTGAGGAGAGGTGGTCGCAACCAGAGGTTCGACTGTACCGTGAACCTGCGTGTCACGCTGCGAGCAGAGTCGCTTCGATCTTTTGACTCTGCTTGCAGGGAAACCTACTAGTGAACTGATTCCTTGCCTTTCTTTGGACTCAAAACTGGAACTCGTGCGGCCGAGCAAACAGTGACTAGGAGAATCAGGATAAAGATGGAAGTATTCATGTTGATTTCAGCTCTTTGATCTCTGCTGACACTGAACTCGAACTAACAACTATTACGCTGCTTAACACTGTTGCTATGGACGCCGGCACCAAAACGCATCATTATTGTATGGTGCCTTTGTCCTAATATAATACGCAGTGTTTTTGTCATGTTATGCAGTTCTATCATCGTTATAAATAGCGCCTTTGTGCTAAAGTTTACTCATATCGACCGATAAGCGCGAACAAAGTACGTGTCTCAGAGCAGGAGTTGCATTTATAAATGATAGGGAGTTGAAAAATATAAATTCTTACTTATAAAATAAATTTCAATAAGCACGTAACCAAACAAGATGTCATACACAACCTCGTTGTCTGGACTTGAAGGCCCTTGGGAACGAGTCTGTGGACAATTCCGAAAGAGCTTACAAGCTGTAATATACAAAAGACGGCTGAATAATCATTAGTATTTATTAGCACAAGTAATTTAGTTTCTGATCAAGCTACAAAAAGCACCGATGTGTTGAATACTGTTTGTGCAACTGGAGTTTTAAAAAAATTCAAAATTTTACAAAGAATGCACGAGCTCATTAGCTTTTCGACCTTTTCCAACCAGACATTTTGCGGTGTTTGAAAGTCAATTTCGCATTAAATATTACAACCAAACAGCCAAAGAATTTACCAGTTAATAAGTTTGAAAAGGACTTTAACTGTTTATGGGCAATTTGTATCCAACATGATGTCTACTCTTAGTAAAGTCGATCGTATGTTAACAAATGACGAAAAATGTCGTGAATGACGTCAGCAAAGATCGCTCTTTAGAAAAGATCAGAAAACGGTCAGTGTAACACGCACACTGCAGACCAAAGGTAAAATGCACACTGCAGACTGCTGAATTTCACTTGACTTAGACTTCTTTGCCCCTCGTGAGGCATAAAGTTTTCATCATAGCTCTCCACCGGACCCTGTTCTTTGCGATCTTCTCTACCTCGCCCCATGACTTCCCGATGTTATCCAACTCCTTTGTCACTATGCCGAAGTACACGATTGTTGAATTTTTTAGCATATTCTACATTATGATCGGAACAAATGACACTTATTTCAGCAGTATTAACACCACGACAGAAATCGACAAGAAACGAGTTAACGTAAGGTTCATTTTGCGCGTAAGTCACAAATCGAGAAGGTAATTTTTATGGAGTTTTGCGGCTTCTGAATCCAGGTTTTACTGAAAAGTAGAACTGCTAGAACCGATCACTGATTTTTTAAGCAGTGTATCACTTTCTGTGGAGGGTCTATGAAAAGGTTACCTTTTCTGCCAAAAATGGTATATAAAAGAGTAATTTATGGCTGGGACTTAAGGGCGGAGTCTGCCAGTTCAAGACTTTGTACATGTTGCTTGCCTTACTCTCTCAAAAGGGAGAAATTAGAAGATTTCCTCACTGGAAAAATTAACTTTGAATGGAAGGTATGAATCGAATAAACAATGGGATTTTACGTTACATGCATTGCCGACAGAATTCAATTTCTAGAAATGTCGGAAAAGCATTTTGCATTTCATGCAAGGGTACGTGCGTGGAAAAATAAGGGGGGTTTCTTCACGTAACTTGAGTCCACGGTACTTACATAAATAATACAGCGGTAAAAACGTCATTGCTTGATTATGAACCAATCAATTGTGCTTTTATTTTGGCCCATTACGCCAACGAGCCAATCACATGTCGCCTTATTTTGGACATTACGAAGGGAAATCGAGCAAAACAACGAAAGTGAAATGATGTTTTGGCCGTGAGGATCGAACAGGGAAATTCTACGATCTGTAGAAGTAATGGCGGCGCATCGCAGATTCAATATCCCTCTGCATTCCAACGATGCGTTGAAAACAATGAACGATCTGCGAAGGAAAGGCGAGTTATGCGATGTCGTTCTTCATGTTGATGGCAGGCAATTTCCCGCGCATAGAATCGTCCTTGCAGGAGCAAGTTCTTACTTGCGTGCCATGTTTACAAATGGTATGTTGGAAAGTGGCATGAAAGATATTAAATTGCAAGGAGTTGAAGCAAGTGTCATGGAGGGATTGCTGGATTTTGCGTACACTGGAGCCATCGATGTGACTGTGGAGAACGTGCAAGCGTTATTATCCGCCGCTTCGTTATTAAATCTTCAGAGTTTAAGATCGGTTTGTTGTGGTTTTCTTCAGACACACCTAGATGCGACAAATTGTCTCGGTATCCGAGCATTTGCAGATCTCTATTCCTGCTCAGAACTTGAAGAAGCTGCTTATCGCTTTGTCCGTCAACACTTCTTGGATGTAGCGAAAGGGGAGGAATTCTTACAACTGCCAAAACAAGCTTTGCGGAATCTTTTACGGGAAGACCTGCTCCAGGTTCGCTCTGAGAATCAAGTGTTCGAGGCGGTGGAGGCGTGGATTTTGCATGATTTCTGTCGACGAAAGGATTATGCAGTTGAGCTTTTAAGTAACGTAAGACTTCCTCTTCTAACGCTCGAATTTCTTGAAGCCCGAGTTTTTCCTTCGAAGATTATCAAGAACAATGCGGATTGCCAACTGTTATTGGCTAAGGTTCTAAACGAGAGTGCACGCAACCTCCCTCGTTACATGACATTACCACGAGCTCAGCCACAAGCTGTTTATGTCATAGGTGGTCGAAATGGTGTTGATTGTCAGCTGTCAAGCTTAGAAAGATATGACACTCTAACAAATCAGTGGATTATGCTGCAAAACATGAAATATCCCAGAACTGCAGTTGGTGCCTGTAGTCTCAATGGTTTGCTATATGTGGTGGGTGGTGAATGTGCTGTTAGTGCCCCACATGACGACACTATGTATGTGCGACATGTGGAGTGCTATGACCCGGCAGTAAACCAGTGGATTTCGCTCGCTGACATTGCTATTCAGAGGTCATTCATTGCAGTGACGGCATTAAATGGTTATCTGTACGCCCTTGGAGGTGAAGACAGAACTTGTAGTTATAACTACGTCGAGAGATATGACCCCAAGACTGACCACTGGAGTACAGTGCAGTGTATGCGAAGGAAGAGATCGGGGGCAGGAGTGGCTGTTTGTGATGGTTTGTGTCCTAATTTTAAACCTAACCTTAAAAATCAGTTTAATACTACAGGTGAACCCTGTTAATCCAGTCATCAATGGGCCACGTAAATCTGGTCATATTAGCGTGGTGGCTGTATTAAAGCTGTTCTTTAAAGAAGAAAATGACCGACTGAACTTTTGTTTGGGCTAGGATAAAGTGACTGTAATAATGATATATACGTAGTCATATGAGCGGGGTACGCAAGGCAGGGTTCCACTTTAGTATTAAACAATACCGACAATCATACCAACTAAACTGCAGTAATATTTTGAGATACCATTACTGCACTGAATTGGTGGCTAGATGGAGGAAACTAATTCTGTGTCATGCACAAACATCATTTGACACTTTGTTCTCTGGCTTCCAATGTTATACAGAGTCAGCATCTCAATGTAATTGCAGTGAGTTTTCAATAATGAATCAAGTGCTGAGAAAATGAAAGAACAACTAAAGACTGCTCACTTTTAATGATTATTAAAATAGAAATTCTCACAACACACATTGTTGTATATTGACGCTGATACATGGTTGATTGATTTCAGGTCATCTGAATCACGACTCTGCAAACATGTTAACAGCTGTCAAACAGCTGAAACACAGCCTGTGATGTTAGACTCTGCAGAAGGCTAGATATTTTCCTTTCGCAAATGCAGTCATGGTCATATCTTGCACAAATATATTAGAAATACTTAATAAACAGCATCAGAAAAAAAACTTATCTTTTTTAACTGTATATAAACCAAAAAAGTTATACTGTAAGGGTTTATATTGTAAAAATTACATCATGCCGTACTGTATGGATGGCAGCCCAGGCTCAGAATAGATCGTTTTTCCCTGTCACATAATAAGCAAAGTTAAACCAAAAACCATTCAGTAAATGAAGTCAAGAAAATGCAGTCTTGTAGAAGATAAATAAAGAAGACACTTTTTAAAGTGTTAGGTCTGTGCGCTGCCCCAAACTTCAGATATCTGTCGAAATGTTTCACACAAATTTACAGAGTCTAGTATGGAGCTGCCACATTGGTGTACTTCTGTGGTACACCAATATGGTGGCAGGAAAATTGTGTACTCGTCTGGAGCTTACTTTAGTCATCTAGGCCACTGATTATTCATACTGCACAAAACCACATGTCCATAGACACTTTTCCTACTACTTTTGCTTCACGAATGACTAAAAATCACGACATAGGTAGCTCTATGTCACACACCTTCATAACTCTGAAATTAAGTTGCTCTGGCCAGTTTCAAAAACGAAGCATGTTATTGAGCTGAGAAGTTGTCAACATACATACTTTTCGCACCTCTTTTACCTGATGAGGATAAAAACTCTGGTTGCTCTTTAGTTTTGGATTTTAAAACTTGATGATGTCATGTGAAAACAATCTATAAATGCCTGGTTCAAATAGCATTCAATCAGACAGTATGTGGCACATCAAATTTAAAACTCATAGGTCAGTGTACTTGGATGGATCTCTTTGCAGGAACAATTTTGCGAGAGAAAGATTTGGATGAGGGCTTACTGTAAAGTTAGGAAAGGAATGGGGAGATATCATTTTCATAGGATTATCAATTTTGTTATTGTACATGTGGTAAAGCAAGTAGCTGATGTGGGAATGAGCCAGAATGGTACATGGTAATTGAACAGAAAGACACTAAATTTTGCTGAGCTGAAATCCAGTACTGTTTGTAATTCTTTGTTACAGGGAAGCTGTACATTGCTGGAGGTTATGACAGAGGTGTGCATAGTGATAGAGCAAGTGTTGAATGCTATGACCCTGACACAGACACCTGGACCTTTGTAACTGAACTAGAAAAAGCACGCTCTGGTATGTCATTAGTAGCTGTCAACAACTACCTGTACGCTCTTGGAGGCCGAAACAGAAGCACAGATCATTACTTTGATCTCGCTGAAAGGTACAACACACAGACACATCAGTGGCAGCCAGTTGCACCTCTGAACACGCCAAGGGCTTGGCCATCTGTGGCGGTGTACGACAACAAGATTTTTGTATTGGGTGGATTTGATGGTGCGCATAGGCTTTCCAGTGTTGAGGTGTATGATCCTGATAAAGATACATGGCGTTTTGTGCAGGACATGAACATTTGTCGCGCAGGTTGTGGTGCAGCAGTGTTGTAGTTAAAGGCAAGCAAAATTGATGTGCTAGGTTGGTTTTTGCTGGAAGCCTAGAATGAAGGTCATGCCACTAGGATTTATCTGGAATTAATCTTTTAAAAGCCTTTTTATAATAATAAAATCATTTTACATTACAGCTATGACAGCCAAACCAAAGAAGTATACTAGAATAGTACTTAGAGACTTAAGACATAGAGTTTTGTAATCAGGACTCCTGCAGTGTGATTTGTAACTACTGTGCGAGATTTTTATTTTTCTTTCAATCTTTTGCGGCAGAACAGATTTTGAAGTATAGCTGCTATCCCAAGTAGTCCTGCTGGTTGAATGCGAAAGAGTCATGCAGATCAGTTCATAGGCTAACAAGTAGAACTTTTTTGAACTGGTGTGATTGCCCATAATTTTGAATACCGCTAGAAGATAATCCAGTCTCCAAAAACATTTTTATAATCTGATTCTGATCATACATCAAGTTTTCAAGTTGCATTTAACCTGTCAGTAGTGATTGCTGGAAATGTGCTTTGTATATTCCGTGATGTATTGCATATTGTGTGATCCACAATAAACAACTTCCTCTATAAATGCCTGCTTCTGATCATAAAGCCTACAAGAGCAGGTGGTCTGACCAGGTCGACCGGTGGTTTGTGGTAATATGTCATCACCAGCAAAACGTGGGTGTCACATTTTGACACCCGCCTTTGAAATCCTGGTCAAAAGCTTAGCTGAGGTTCAATGATGATGATGATGATGATGATGATGATGATGATGATGATGATGATGATGTACAAGATGGTGCTCTTTGTCGAGGTGTCAAGTTTGGGTGCCAAAAGTCCACAATTAAAGGTTGAACCATTGTGCCAAACTTCATGGTCAACTGAGTAATCAATGATCATTGCTTTGCCTTTTTCCCAATGATGTACAACAGACCTCAATGTTTTAATTTCTAGTTTTGAGAGCAACTGATCAAAGCAGCTTAGTCTCAGTTACCAGAAGCCTGCAGAGTAAAGCTGTATGAACAAAGTTGCCACCCACATAATAATGCTTCTAAGGGACTGACCACTATTTTCTTTGGTGGCGG